AATGTTATCACATATGGAAAGCATAAGTTGTTTTTATCAAACATTTGTTTCAGTTATTTGTATATGTGTGTGTGTGTATATATATATATATACACAATGATCTAGTACACATATACATTTTACGTGTATATATGTATACAATGATCTAATATATATATACATTTTATGTGTATGTATATTAGATCATTGTATCATTAAGTGTGACCCTGAAAGGAAACAGTTGTCAGAGTTGAAAACTTAATAAAGGATCTGTTTACAAAAGTAAAGCAGGAGTAAAGGCCGAGCATGGTGGCTCATGCCTGTAATCCCAGCACTTTGGGAGGCCAAGGTGGGTGGATCATTTGAGGTCGGGAGTTCAAGACCAGGTTGGCCAACATAGCAAAACCCTGTCTCTACTAAAAATACAAAGTTACGCGGCTGTGTGCCTATAGTCCCAGCTACTCAGGAGGCTGAGGTATGAGAATCGCTTGAACCTGTGAGGCAGAGGTTTCAGTGAGCCAAGATTGTGCCACTGCACTCCAGCCTGCATGACAGAGTGAGACTGTCTCAAAAAAAAAAAAAAAAAAAAGGTAAAGCAAGAGTGAAACTACAAGGGATGATGGAGTCTCCCCGGACCTAGGAAAGAAATAGTTACCTAAGCCCAGAGAGAAGTTTCGAGAGAATTACCTGACAGGTGCCGTGTCCTTTGATAGAGGAACATAATCAACCAATGATATTCTGGCAGGGAAGGAGCAGGGAGAATACATGCCTGATCTCTCTTCCCTACACTGATTCTCTTTCTGGAATCTCCCTTGGATATACTCCCTATGGCTCAGTCTCCCAGAGCACAGAAAATGTTAGAGATTTCACCTAGAAATGTGACACAGTTTTAAGTTGGTGATGGGTCAGTGGGACTTTACGAGGTGAAGAAGTGAGGAAAGGGGCTGAACTGGAAGGAACAGCATGTGCAAAGACCCTGAGTTGCAAGCAAGCATGAGTCCATAGAACTGAAAGAAGCCCATTGAGGCTGGAGCCCAGAGAGCAAGGAAAGGGCAGTTATAGTTAGGTCTAGAAAGGAACAGAAGGGCCCAGATCATTCAGACCTTGTAGACCAAGTTAAGAATTTTGCTCTTTGTCCTAAGGCAACGGGAAACTATTGAAGGGTTCTAGAGAGGGACGTAATCAGATATCAATTTTAAAAGATCACTCTTTCATTTTAAAAAGAGCACTTCCTGCACCTTCCAACAGGACATCTGAAAAAAAATTTTTTAATTAAAAGATCGTTTCTAATTTGGAGGTTGTTGGAGTAGTTCAAGCAAAAAAAAGGGGGAAAAGCCAAAACATAGCAACAACTAGGTCCAACTTGGGAGATATGGAAATAGAAGGTAAAATCCGGCCAGGCATGGTGGCTCATGCCTGTAATCCCAGCACTTTGGGAGACCGAGGCAGGTGGATCACCTGAGGTCAGGAGTTCGAGACCAGCCTGGCCAACATGGTGAAACCCTGTCTCTACTGAAAATACAAAAATAAGCTGGATGTGGTGGCGGGCACCTGTAATTCCAGTTACTCAGGAGGCTGAGGCAGGAGAATCGCTTGAATCCAGAGGCAGAGGCTGCAGTGAGCCAAGATTGTGCCACTGCACTCCAGCCTGGGAGACGGAGTAAGACTCCATGACTCCAATCTCAAAAAAAAAGAAGGTAAAATCCACAGGTCTTGGTGATGGTTTGGATTAGGAGGAATGCTGATACCCAGATGAAAAGGTGGTAGGAATGAGTACTGGGTTTCTTGCCTGAGGAATGAGAAGCCAGAACGCAAGAAGGCACTCGATTCTACATAAGCATAGACCTCTCTTACCCATGTGAAGCACATTTGCCTAAGCCTGAAAAAGTGGAAAACAAAGAAACAACAACATAATTAGAAGAAAAATATTCGCTTCATATGCTATTTCCTCCTAAAACTGCCCCTGCATCAGAAATTTGGTTTGTTTGGAGTATTTTTGTCAAATGTACATGATGATTCTATTTTACATGTTTGAATTTTTGCATTTAAGATTTTTGTTGCAAGAGTCATATTTGTACCACCTTTCTCAGAGTTACTTTATTGTGGACGAATTGACACTGGAAACTCACCATTCACTGTCAATTCAGTTAAATGCAAAATTCTCCATAGGTGTTCTCACTGCAAATCTCATTTAAGCAGAAAGGATTTTGGTTTACTGAGGATGGCTCACATCTTGATAGCAGTATTAAACCGATTTGCAGGATTAATAGTTTTTCCAAATGTCATCTCAATTCCTCTAAGTCCATGTGCAGCAAATTCTGTTATCTGGCAGATAAGATGAATTGAGTGATCTAATTAAATATTATAGTGCTCAGCATAATAGAAAAATCTCTTATATAGAGATTACCAATTAAAAATCATGATACAGGCCAGGCGTGGTGGCTCATGCTGGTAATCCCAGCACTTTGGGAGACCGAGGCGGGCAGATCATGAGGTCAAGTGATCGAGACCATCTTGGCCAACATGGTGAAACCTCGTCTCTACTAAAAATACAAAAATTAGCTGGGTGTAGTGGCGCACACCTATAATCCCAGCTACTCGGGAGGCTGAGGCAGGAGAATCGCTTGAACCCAGAAGCTGGAGGTTGCAGTGAACTGAGATTGCACCACTGCACTCCAGCCCATGCAACAGTGTGAGACTCCATCTCAAAAAAATAAAAAATAAAATACATAAAAATCATGATACAATAAAACATACTAAAACCATATTAAGCATTAATTTACCTTAGGAAGAGACTCAAAGAGTGCATGTATCTTCAGTTTTTTGGTAGACCAGTAATAATAATTAAGTTGACAACTTTTTTTTGTTGTTTTTTGAGACAGTGTTTCACTCTTATTCCCCAAGCTGGAGTGCAATGGTATGATCTCGGGTCACCACAACCTCCACTTCCCAGATTCAAGTGATTCTCCTGCCTCAGCCTCCTGAGTAGCTGAGATTACAGGCATACACCACCATGACTGACTAATTTTATATTTTTAGTAGAGATGGGGTTTGTCCATGTTGGCCAAGATGGTTTCAAACTCCTGACCTCAGGCGACCTGCCCGCCTCAGCCTCCCAAAGCGCTGGGATTACCCATGTCTGGCCTAAGCTGACTACTTAATAGACCTGCATTCCGTCATGTCACCTCTGGGACTGCTCCACTCCACAAAAAGAGGTGATAGTCTCAGCTCTTGTAATTCTTTAACTTTCTCTTAATAATATGGTATAGAAATAACTGAAACATCCTTCAAGACTCCCATAAACTAATCTCAGTGTTTCCTTCCCATTTCAGGTAACTGCAGTTTTGTGAAATTATAAATATAACACCGAGGTAACGAAACTAACTCAAGAAGAATGGAAGAGTATGTTTAAAATTCCAATGTATTTTGTATACATATATTTAAATTATGCCTTCTGTTAAATTTCTGTGTATAACTTATCTATTGCTGTGTAACATATTAGCCCAACACTTAGTGACACATTTATTCTTTCTCACGGTTTCTGTGGGTCCTGAGCTTAGGAGCAGGTTAGTTGGGTGGTGCTGGCTTGGGGTCTCTCCTGAGCTTGAAGTTGGCCACGGGTGGCAGTGATCTGAAGATCTGACGGGGGCTGGAGTATCCACTTCCAAGCTGGTTCATTGACAGAACTGGCAAGTTGGTGCAGGCTACCAGCAAGAGGCCTTAGTCCCTTACCCTTGAGGATGGGCTCACAGTGCTGCTTAAGTGTCCTCATGCCAAGGCAGCTGTCCTCCCTCACAGCGAGAGATCTGAGAGAGTAAGGCAGAAGCTGTCTTTTATCACCTAGCCTTGGAAGTCACACTCTGTCATTCCCACAATAACCTTCTGCTTACATAGGCTAGTCCTATTCCGTTGGGGTAGATACACAGGGGCATTAATACTAGAAAGTGAGAATCATTTGTGCCACCTTGGAGACTAGATACCACATTCTGTTTTTCACTCATCATGAGACACTTTTGGTTAGCATCTAAAGATAATCTTAGGAAAAAAAAGTTAATTTTGGCTCAAATTCAGATTGATCAGCATAGCCAAATTGCATGAGCTACATATCTTTATTAAACAGTAAGTTGTTTGCCTTTGGTTGGTCAAAATGAAAGATATTTAGTGGAATCACATGCAAATTCCTACTTTTGTTTTTTTAATCTGGCTTATTATTGTAATTATTTAATTTTCTCTTAATAAAATGGTATAGAAATAACCAAAACATCATTCAAGACTCCTATACACTAATCTCAGTGTTATATTATATGACAACATGAATATCACAGGAGCCCAGCACGTTGCTGCCTGTGCTTTTGAGTTAAAGTCATGTTTAAATATGGGTTGCTGACTTATTTTTTCTTTATTCTTTCCTTAGAGACAGCCTGGAAGACTCAAACCTTTCTCCGAAAGTTTGGCATTCTGAGATGACAGTGTCAGTGACAGGCAAACCACCTAGTACCGTAGAAGAAGAAGGACTACCTAAAGAAACAGGTGTAGAAATCATCCCAGAAATCCTAGAGCCACTCTCCCTTCCAGATGTGCTGAGGGTCTCTGCAGTCCTGGAGGATACCATAGACCAGCTCTCTATTTTAAAGTACATCATGCAGATTCAGTGCGAACGAAGACAGAGCATCAGCATGGTACATACTCACTCACCGTTAGTTAATTTTGCTTTATTTAATTTTTATTTCTCCATCATTTATAGTATCTATCCCATTATATTTATGTTCTTTCTTTCTTCCTTTTTTTTCTTTTTTTTGGGGGGGATGGGGACAGAGTCTCATTCTGTCACCTAGGCTGCAGTGCAGTGGTGCCATCACAGCTCACTGCAGTCTTGACCTCCCAGACTCAAGCAGTCCTCCCACCTCAGCCTCCTGGGTAGCTGGGACTACAGGCATGCACCACCATGCCCGGCTAATTTTTTATAAAAATTTTATAGAGATGGGATCTCACTATGTTGTCCAGTCTGGCACCATTAAATTTCACTTGGGAAATAGCACCTTTATTTCAGATAAAGGGCTACAATAACTATCTGAGATATGTACTGTCAATTGATGGGGTGAAATTGCTGTAGCTCATGGTACATCACCAGACAGAATATCCTTTTCCCCTATATTGGCATTATTCAAAAAGGCCTATACTTAAATCAGTATAAATACAATATATGTATTGAAGAGGTCGAACTACTGAGTTGTCCACCTATCTTGTATTTCTCAGCTGCTGAAAACTAAGTAAACACTAGGGAAAGGAAATGTAACTCTTTTTTTTTTTTAAGATGGGATTTCACCATGATGGCCAGGCTGGTCTTGAACTCCTGACCTCAGGTGATCCACCCACCTTGGCCTCCCAAAGTGCTAGGATTACAGGCGTGAGCCACCGCACCCGGCCTTCAACTCTATTCTTAATTAACGTTGTTTTAATCTAAAATGACTTTGTTGTCATTGATGAATATGTTGCAACTTGCCTCCCTGAATATCCAGCTGCATTACTGTGTCAGCCATTACATTTTCAATAATGTTTTGGACTCTTCTGTGAATCAGCACTGAGTTATCAAAAAGTTAACTTACTAGTGAGCAAAGTCTTCATGCAGTTTTAAGCTCTTGTACATTTCAGTAACTTACATTATAGTTATGAAATGGAAATTATTTACAAACAGAAATACACATTTATCAATTTTTTTGTTTTATTTTGTCTTGTTTTTGAGATGGAATCTCCCTCTGTCACCCAGACTGGAGTGCAGTGGTGCAATCTCTGCTCACTGCAACCTCCGCCTCCCGGGTTCAAGTGATTCTCCTGCCTCAGCCTCCCATGTAACTGGGACAACAGCCGCGCACCACTGCGCCAGCTAATTTTTTATATATTTAGAAGAGACAGGTTTCTCCATATTGGCCAGGCTGGTCTCAAACTTCTGACCTTGTGATCCGCCCACCTCGGCCTCCCAAAGTGCTGGGATTATAGGCATGAGCCACCACGTCCAGCCTTATCAAGTTTTAAATAATAACATTATAAAATTTGTACAGAAGATATTTTTATATCTGATTCCATGACCGATGAAAATTGCTATATAAATGACAGGGGTTATCTTTTTTGTTTTTTGCTTTTCATATCTAACAGTAAAGAAGTCCATATTTATTGAGAGAAGAAAATTCAATTTCTCATAACAATTTCAAATTTTTAAAAAATTATTATTGTTATGCCATAGCCTGGGTTCTTAAAGCTTTCATTAAAGTTTAAAAAGTTTAGACAAGATTTTAGCAGAACAATGGATTTGGAATCAGGAGACATTTTGGATTTATTTATGTGCTAGCAATCATTTCACTTTTTTGGTTTTAGTTTTCTCATAAGTTGTAATGGTGTTTACCTAAATGACGCATAGATTCCTTCCAGTGCTAGCATTCTATGAGTTTTGGGGTAGTTTTTAAATAATATTATAGGAATTGTATAATGTAAGTTAACTTCCTTATTAACGTATGAAGGGCAAATAGATAAGAATCTAAGAACAAAATCTTTCCTTGCATTTAAAGTAAGAGTCTAATTGCAACAATTTAAGAGAGCTAACAAATAGCACAGAAGTAGCTGGTGTTTTCCTCCTATTTATTCTTCCTCCAGTAAGAATCAAAAATAAAATGTGTGCTTTGGGAGGCCAAGGTGGAAGAATTGCTTGAGGCCAGGAGTTTGAGATCAGCCTGGGCAGCACAGAAGACTCTATCACTACCAAAAGAATGCAAAATTAGCCAGGCATGGCGGCACATGCCTGTAATCCCAGCTACTCAGGAGGCTGATGTGGGAGGGTCTTTTGAGCCTGTGAGATGAGGCTGCAGCAAGCCAAGGTCACACCACTTTAACCTGGGTGACAGAGTGAGACCCCCTGTCAAGCCAGTGGGGGGAAGGAAGGGGGGAGAGAGAGAGAGAAGAAAAGAAGGAAGGGCAGGAAGGGAGGAAGGAAAGAAGGGAGAAGGAAAGGAAGGGAGGAAAAAAAGAAGGGGGAAGGGAGGGAGGGAGGGAAAGAAAGAAAGAGAAAGAAAAAAGAGGAGAGAATAGAGAGAGACAGAAAGAAAGAAAAAGAGAAAGGAGAAATAGAACGAAACGGAAAGAGAGAAAGAAAAGAAGGAAGAAAGAAGGAAAAATGGGAAGACATTCAGTTAACAAAGTCTTCTCAATGATACCTGCTGTCAGCCTTTGAAAAGAGTACTTTGCCTTCATGGAATCTCAAGAATGAAAACTCTAAATTAATAACAGTATTCAGCAGCGGTCACTACTCCAGTAAATAAAAGAATGAACTTTTTGTGCTGCTTTTACTGGTTTATGATAGTGATCTTTTACCCACAAAATTTTCTAACTCAACAGAAACCCTCCTCATGATTTTAGTGTAAATAGTAAAGGCTTGCACTGCAGTATAATCATGTTGATTAACAGCAATTTAAAAGTCCTTTTCTCAATGTTAGTTTCCTATCTTTTAAAAATTGTGAATCTCTTAAAATATTTTTTGGGTTTTATTTCGTGGTACTATAGTTGTTTTGACTCATGAATTTAAGATGCCATTGCCGTGTAGGGTACAGGAGATATATTTTAAAACATTAGTACAGCTAGTGCTCGACTTACGACCACGGTCGGGACCGCGGACCGGTCGTAACACGATTTGGTCGTAAGTTGAGTAGGCTATATGTACAGTTGAAATGGTGCACGCGGAGATGGTAGTGCTGCCGGAAGCTGGTCCGCACTGTCGTACGCCCAGCTGGGCAACGTTTGCGCTGCCAGACGCGGAGCAGTCGTGGCTAGTGATTGTGGTCGTAAAGTCGAATGGTCGTAAGTTGCATAGGTGGTAAGTCGATCAATACCTGTATGTACATGGGTGTTTTCTTTCCCCAGAGGCTTGGCATCCTTTAGCCTTTTAACAACCTTGAGAGGAAAGGTTAGCATTATCCCTCTTCTAAAAACACTTTTATGGCTAAGTCCATCTCCAGATACATTTTCATGTATTAGAATTATGAAATGGGGCCAGGCACGGTGGCTCACACCTCTAATCCCAGCACTTTGGGAGTCCGAGATAGGCGGATCACAAGGTCAGGAGACCGAGACCAACCTGGCCAACATAGTGAAAACCCATCTCTACTAAAAATACAGAAAAGATTAGCTGGGTGTGGTGGCAGTCACCTGTAGTCCCACCTACTCTGGAGGCTGAGGCAAGAGAATTGCTTGAACCCAGGAGGCAGAGATTGCAGTGAGCTGAGATTGTGCCACTGCACTACAGCCTGGTGGACAGTGCAGGACTCTGTCTCAGAAAAAAAAAAGAATTATGAAATGAAGGGTGAAAAACATATTAATATACCAGGTTCCACCAGAAATGAGAGTGATTTGAGCAAAGTTTGGAGCTTTCTGGCAGGGAATACTGCTTTTCTTCTCTTTTTCCTAGGGAAAAAATCCTATCTTGTGCATAGTGTGTACAATATAAACATGTTTCTTAGAGGCTGGGTGTGGTGGCTCACACCTCTAATCCCAGCACTTTGGGAGGCCGAGGTGGGCAGATCACCTGAGGCCAGGAGTTTGAGACCAGCCTGGCCAAAATGATGAAACCTCATCTCTACTAAAAATACAAAAAAAAAAAAAAAAAAAAAATAGCCGGGTGTGGCGGTGCACTCCTGTAATCTCAGCTACTTGAGGGGCTGAGGTAGGAGAATCACTTGAGCCCAGGAGGTGGAGGTTGCAGTGAGCAGAGACTGCATCACTGTAATCCAGCCTGAGTGACAGACTGAGACTCGGTCTCGAAAAAATGATTTTTTTCTTTTTGTGAGTCAACTAGAACACTTAGCTCATTTCTTTAATTCGATTCTAAAAATTCACATTTCTTTCTAATACTCAGTAAATCAGGACATGTGACACATTTGCTTCCCTTTCCAGTGCCCAAGTATAAAGGCAGAGGAATAGTGGTTAGGGAACTTAGAAAATGGGGCATCCCAGAGGTTGCGGTGAGCCAAGATCGTGCCATTGCACTCCAGCCTCGGTGACAGAGTGAGACTTTGTCTCAAAAAAAATAAATTATTTATTTAAATAAGAGAGACAATGGGGCCTCCTAGACCTTACATTTTCTCCTTATTGCCTTAGACAAAATATAAGATGATAACTATTTATTTTACCAGTGAGAAGATGGGGACACAGAGATGTTAGATAGTTGCTCAAGGTCAGTAGAGTTTAGACATAGAGCCGGATTCAAACACGGCTTCAGAAGCCATATGTGTAGTCACTGTAATACATGGCCCCTCAGTGGCTCAAGCTTTTAGCCACAGTTTAGTTTACATAGGCATCATCAGCTAAAAGGCATATGCTGTTCCTGTGTTCTTTAATATTCAAGTTTGGGTCTGAAAAAGAAATTATTTTGGCTTTTCCCTCCTTGATCCTCAAAATCTACATCATACTGCTAAATCTACTATCAACCTCTTTTAGTATGATTCTCCTTTTTTATTTATATTTCAAGTTCATATGTTCAATGAACATTTGAGTCTCTGCTATATGCTAGTCATGTTCTAAGCAATGGGACTATACAGATGGCCACATCCAATCTTGTTCCAAAAATAATTTTAGTCTTCAAAAACACTTTTTTTTAGAAGTGAACCAAGATCACTAAGACAATGTCCCTTCCCTCCTAGAAACCGCAATCTGATGGAGATACTTTATAAAAAATTACAATATGATAAATGCCTGCTAACAGAGATTTTTCACCAAGAACTTTACTTTTGATCAGTTTACCAGGTGGTAAGTTGGGGAATGAGAGAGAAAGGGAATGCTGTGTGAAGTTAGCAGCAGGATATGGTTTGGTGTGGCTGAAGAAAACCGCACATTTTCTTGGAGTGTGGAGTACAAGTCAGAAACAATAATGTTGAAAAATGTAGCCGGGCGCGGTTGCTCATGCCTGTAATCCCAGCACTTTGGGAGGCTGAGGCGTTTGGATCACAAGGTCAGGAGATTGAGACCAGCCTGGCCAACACAGTGAAATGCCATCTCTACTAAAGATACAAAAAATTAGCCGGGCATGGTGGCACATGCCTATAATCCCAGCTACTCTGGAGGTTAAGGCAAGAGAATTGTTTGAACCCAGGAGGCGGAAGTTGCAGTGAGCTGAGATTGCGCCATTACACTCCAGGCTGGGTGACAGCACAAGGCTCCATCTCAAAAAAAAAAGAGAGAGAAAGAAAAATGTAGACAAAAGCCTCTGTCTTATAGTATTATCTCTTTAAAAAAAAAAAAAAAAAACTTTCTAATATTTTTTATTGTTTTGAAAAGAAAAGTGGAGAAATGAATCTAGAAGGAAAGAATCTACACAAACTTCCAGTGGCCTCAACAATCACAAAAATACCTCGTCCATTAATATCCAAAGAAGAACCCGAGTTGCCAGAAATCAGACAAAGAGGCCAATTTCCTGTGGAGTTTAACAAAATGCAGGATCTTATCTTTAAAAATCCTACAAGGCAGACCATAATGACTACGGAGACACTGAAGAAAATGCAGATTGATAGGTAAGGAAGGAACACATTTTGCAATGGAATAACGTATGTGCACATAGATGAGAGAATGGGTACCTGGGTGGCTGACTGCTCCCTTTTATGGGTTGGTCATTACTGTGTATGCAGATTGACTGCTGAGAATAGAATTAGCTAATTAGAGGCAGGGTGATACGAATGGAAAGCAAGGCGGCTCTATGATATGGCACAAGTTACTAAGTCTTTTTTTTGTTCAGACCCAGTTTTACTCCTGTAGCCCAGGCTGGAGTGCAGTGGTGAGATCTCGGGACACTGCAGCCTCCACCTCCTGAGTTCAAACGATTCTCCTGCCTCAGCCTCCTGAAGAGCTGGGATTACAGGTATATACCACCATGCCTGGCTAATTTTTGTATTTTTGGTAGAGACGGTTTCACCATGTTGGCCAGGCTGGTCTCAAACTCCTGACCTCAGGTGATCCACCTGCCTCAGCCTCCCAAAGTGTTGGGATTATAGGCGTGAGCCACCGCACCAGTTATTATGTCTTTGTTTCCAATTCTTATTTATTTTTAAATTCTTTTTTTTCTCTTCAGACATATACCTGCATATTGTTTATATTTTAGAGACTAGGTCACTATGTTGCCCAGGCTGGAGGGCAGTAACTATTCACAGGGGATGTCAGAGCACTGCCATCCTCAAGCTTCTGGCTTCAAGTGATCTCGCATAGCTGGGACTATAGTCACACTGGCTGTTTTCAATCACTGAAAATGAGAATGGGCCAGGCACAGTGGCTCACACCTGTAATCCCAGCACTTTGGGAGGCCAAGGTGGGCAGATCATGAGGTCAGGAGTTCGAGACCAGCCTGGCCAGCAAGGTGAAACCCCATCTCTACTAAAAATACAAAAATTACCTGGGTGTGGTGGCATGCACCTGTATTCACAGCTGCTCAGGAGGCTAAGGCAGGAGAATTGCTTGAACCTGAGAAGTGGAGGTTTCAGTGAGCTGAGATCACGCCACTGCACTCCAGCCTGGGCAACAGAGCAAGACTCTGTCTCGAAAAACAAAAAATGACAATACTAGCAGCCTTGCAACTGTAGTGTAAGAGTTGGAAATAATGTGGCTCTATGGCTTAGTTGGTTAAAGAGTTGGAAATAAGGCTTTAGCCGAGTACCTGGCACAGATTGGCAGCTACTATGACGCCTTATCCGTTAATAAGAAATAGCTGCTGGATAGCCACATTCTAACTGTTTTAACCCTGAGGGTTTCTTAAATCCCTGTTGCCTCATAATTTCTTGTTGTCAGCTGGCTCAATGACAAACCTGTTAAGTTTAAGAGGGTGTAACATTATGCTAAGAACTTTTGGTAAATGAGTTTACTGCAGTTTACCCAGTGCCACAAGCTAAATCCAGTATGAAATCTGTTTTGGAAGTTTTATTGGAATACAGTATTGCCCATTTGTTTATACACTGTCTGTGACTGTTTTCATGCCACAATGCAGAGTTGAGTCATTGCCTAAGAGAACTTATGGCAGTCAAGGCCGAATATTTACTGTTTTCCCCTTACAGAGAAAGTTTGTTGACCTTGGTTTTAGACCCTTGAACCAAGGGTAAGATCTGTTGCTAAAGTCAGTCTGGCCCAGATTTGCATCTGACAGAAAGGTATCCTGCTTATACACTGCCCAGTGCAGTTAACGTCCTTTCAATTCTCAGTGTGTGGCTCATATCGTTTCTTGAAAGACCCAAAATACCAGTCTCAGATTATTTGTAGGGGATAGTTTTAGGTTTATATTCCGTAGGAAACTCAGGGTGGCCAGGTGCGGTGGCGCACACCTGTAATCCCAGCACTTTGGGAGGCCAAGGGAGGCAGATCACAGGATCAGGAGATTGAGACCATCCTGGCCAGCATGGTGAAACACCGTCTCTACTAAAAATACAAAAAAATTAGCTGGGCATGGTGGTGCACGCCTGTAGTCACAGCTACTTGGGAGACTGAGGCAGTGAACCAAGGAGGCGGAGATTTCAGTGAGCCAAGATCACATCACTGCAATACAGCCTGGGCGACAGTGTGAGACTCCGTCTCAAAAAAAAAAAAAAAGAAAGAAAGAAACCCAGGGTATACTCATGAAAGGTACATCTCCCACAGTTATCCAGAATCAAAGTGGAAATCACAATATTAAAGACATAAAAACTACAGTAGGCTGAGGGTGGTGGCTCACACCTGTGATTCTACCACTTTGGGAGGCCAAGGTGGGAGGATTGCTTGAGCCCAGAAGTTTGAAACCAGCCTGGGCAACATAGTGAAATCTCATCTGTACTAAAAATAAAAAAATTACCTGGGCATGATGGTGCGTGCCTATGGTCTCAGCTACTCTGGAGGCTGAGATGGGAGGATCACCTGAGCCTGGAAAGTGAGACCCTATCTCTAAATAAATAAATATATTAATTAATAATTTTTAAAAATCACAAAGTTACTTTTTATTTTTTTCCTTTTCTGGATACAGAGTCTTACTCTGTCGCCCATACTAGAGTGCAGTGGCGCCTCCTCACAAGGTAAGGATTTCAAGACCAGCCCAGCCGACATGGTGAAACCCTGTCTCTACTAAAAATACAAAAATTAGCCAGGTGTGGTGGTGTGTGCCTGTAATCCCAGCTACTCAGGAGGCTGAGGCAGAAGAATCGCTTGAACCTGGAAGGCAGAGGTTGCAGTGAGCCAAGATCACACCACTGCACTCTAACCTGGGTAACACAACAAACCCCCATTTAAAAAAAAAAAAAAAAAAATCACCCAGAAGGAACATCATAATGAAATTGGAATTATCCCAGGAATGCAAAAATAGTTTAGCATTGGAAAATGTAAAAAAAAAAAAGAAGAAGAAATAAAAAGATCAAGAGATGCAGAAAAGGCATTTGGCAAAATTCAACATACATTCATCATTTAAAACCAACACCAAAAACCTCTTAGCACCACCGTAAACCTGGGTAATAGAGTGAGTCTCTGTCTCAAAAAAAAAAAAAAAAAAAGTAAACCTACATGTATTATTTAAATAAAACACACAAACACATAATGAAAGTATCACAACATGCCAGAGAATAATCATCACCAAATTCAGAAGACTGTTTATCTTTGGGGAAGATTGAGGGACTGGGGTTAGAGACTTCAGATGTATTTGACATGTATCTGAAAAACCAAGTCTTTTAAAAAAAACCCAGTCTCCCACTTTTGAATGGGCTTGTTTTTTTCTTGTAAATCTGTTTTAGTTCTTTGTAAATTCTGGATATCAGCCCTTTGTCAGATGGGTAAACTGCAAAAATTTTTTCCCATTCTGTTGGATGCCGATTCACTCTAATGACTGTTTCTTTTGCCATGCAGAAGCTGTGGAGTTTGATTAGGTTCCATTTGTCTATTTTGGCTTTTGTTGCCAATGCTTTTGGTGTTTTGGTCGTGAAGTCCTTGCCTACGCCTATGTCCTGAATGGTTTTGCCTAAATTTTCTTCTAGGGTTTTCATGGTGTTAGGTCTTATGTTTAAGTCTGTAATCCATCTGGAGTTAATTTTAATGTAAGGTGTCAGGAAGGGGTCCAGTTTCTGCTTTCTGCACATGGCTAGCCAGTTTTCCCAACACCATTTATTAAACAGGGAATCCTTTCCCCATTGCTTGTTTTTGTCAGGTTTGTCAAAGATCGGATGATTGTAGATATGTTGTGTTACAGACACTTTACAAAAGAAGACATACAGGAGGCCAACAAACATATGAAAAAATGCTCATCATCACTGGTCATCAGAGAAATGCAAATCAAAACTACATTGAGATACCATCTCACGCCAGTTAGAATGGCGATCATTAAAAAATCTGGAGACAACAGATGCTGGAGAGGATGTGGAGAAATAGGAACACTTTTACACTGTTGGTGGGAGTGTAAATTAGTTCAACCATTGTGGAAGACAGTGTGGCGATTCCTCAAGGACCTAGAAATAGAAATTCCATTTGACCCAGCAATCCCATTACTGGGTATATATCCAAAGGATTATAAATCGTTCTAGTATAAAGACACATGCACACGAATGTTCATTGCAGCACTGTTTACAATAGCAAAGACCTGGGACCAACCCAAATGCCCATCGATGATAGACTGGACAGGGAAAATGTGGCACATATATGCCATGGAATATTATGTAGCCATCAAAAACGATGAGTTCGTGTCCTTTGTAGGGACATGGATGAACCTGGAAACCATCATTCTCAGCAAACTGACACAAGAACAGAAAATCAAACACCGCATGTTCTCACTCATAGGTGGGTGTTAAACAATGAGAACACATGGACATAGGGAGGGGAGCATCACACACTGGGGTCAATTGGGGGCAAATAGGGGAGGGACAGAGGGGGGTGGGGAGTTGGGGAGGGATAGCATGGGGAGAAATGCCAGATGTAGGTGAAGGGGAGGAAGGCAGCAAATCACGCTGCCATGTGTGTACCTATGCAACAATCTTGCATGTTCTTCACATGTACCCCAAAACCTAAAATGCAATTAAAAAAAAAAAAAAGAAAAAAAACCCAAGTCTCTACCATGGTAAAATATTTAAATTTTGTGTTATATGCAGAAATATTCATTATTCTTTATACTTTCTAAATTTTTGAAATATTTCATAATTTTGAAAAAGTTAAATCATTAAAAAAAAATTTTTTTTAAAGACCTAATCAAACTTTTTCTTTTTTTTCTTTTTTTGAGACTTGAGTCTTGCTCTGTTGCTCAGGCTGGAGTGCAGTGGTGCAATCTCAGCTCACTGCAACCTCTGCCTCCTGGATTCAAGCAATTCTCCCGCCTCAGCCTGCTGAGTAGCTGGGATTCCAGGCACACGCCACCACACCTGGCTAATTTTTGTATTTTTAGTAGAGACAAGGTTTCACCGTGTGGGCCAGGCTGGTTTCAAACGCCTGACCTCAAGTGATCTGTCTGCCTCGGCCTCCCAAGTGCTGATATTACAGGCATG